TACTTATGCTATGTAGAAAGTTTGAGCTGATTTAACTTGAATTTTTCAAGTTATGGCCATTTTAAAAAATTGGCCAATGTCAGAAAAAACTGCCCACTAGTTTTTTCCAAAAAATGGCTCAAAAATCACACCCAATTTTTATTACATTTTCTAATGCATATTGATTTATTTATGCTATGTAGAAAGTTTGAGCTGATTCCGACTTAAATTTTTCAAGTTATGGCCATTGTAAAATATCATCCAATTTATAAAAAAAACCCTGTACTATAGCCCATAAAAATGGCTCATAAAAATCACATCTAATTTTCATGTGTTTTTTGATAGATTTTACTAAATGTATAACTTACATCATTAGTGTTTGTTATTAGGATCGGAGCTATTTTCTTCATTGTGATGAATTAGATATTTGGTAACTTGTCAGCCATTGACCTCTTTTAAGGCAGAAGCACATTTTCATGTAAGAGGAAAAATGTATTCAGTACATTTCATTTAATAATAACTGGTTTATGTTAACTGCCATTTAGACACCATGTTGTGTAGCTTTTACATGTACATGTACATGCATTCTTCTTTTACTTTGTACAATTATTAAACAATCTACATCTGCATGTACATGTACATGTATTTGTGCCAACTAATACCTGTATTAATTATGTCAAAATTCTAAATGTACACAATTTAAGAGCAGACCTGATGCATGCAATTTTACATGTACATGTACACATGTATATGTATTACATTGTATATACATAGATTATTGTACAATTTTATCTCTTTCTATAGTCATGAGAATGCCAGTGGGTTCTACAGGGTTTCCTCATACTTCATTGCTAAGGTTCTCTGTGACATTATACCAATGAGAGTATTACAACTCTGTATATTTGCATCAGTGACATACTTCATGATGGGTAGGAGAGGGAGAGAGGGAGGGAGAGAGAGGGAGGGAGGGGGTGAGAGAGGGGCAAAAAGGGAGAGAGAGAAAGAGAGAGAGAGAGAGAGTGGAGAGAGAAATACTGTGAAGGGAGATTGAGCTATAAAGCATTACTATAAACCAGTGGCTACTTTATTTAGCGTTTATGCTTCAATGTCAAATTAGCGACTATTAAAATTATCATTTTTAGGCCATTCACTAATATTGCTAAAATTAATAGCACACCTAAAATTACTACATGTAGTTTTACAGTAGTTATTTTTCTTTAATTTAGGTTTTCAAGTTGAAGTTAATAAGTTCTTTATCTATTTCCTTGGGCTCATGTTGGTTGCCATTGCTGCCTCCTCCTCTGCCTTTTGGGTCAGTGCTGGTGTCACTGTGGCTGGTTTAGCTAATCTACTGGTAACTCTCACTTATGTGGTACAAATGGTACGTAAGAAATTGAGTACATCTTAGTGAAAGAATGACTTAAATGTATTGTACGATATATAGTTC